TAGGAATTTTTACTAGGAGAAAGTCTGAGAGCTCATATGCTTCTTTTTGAGAAGCTTAGATACCATGATAACTGAAGCAAGAAGAAGAAAAGATGTCTAAAGAAAAGCAATGCCCTAATAAATAGTTGTATTTTAGTATCTATATTTTTATACAATAAAACTGAAGATAAAGGTACGATTGCTATTTTATGTCTAACGGTCTCTAACATCAGTGGAGGAGCCTATGTTGCGACCACTAATAGTGATTTTGTGGCTAATATCTAGAATTCTAATTTTGTTTTTGATTTCTCTGAATTAAAATTTAATTTTGTTTTTGTCCAAATTAAAATGTATCACGTTCATTTTGATTTAGAGAATAATCATAAATTTTTTCGAAAAGTGAACTTTTTTTCTTTATCACAATCCCACGTATCTTGTGAGGTACCATATAAAAATTGTGTATGCAAGTTTATTAGTCCAAGGTAAGCAAATTGATAATAAGTTTTGAGGATAGATCATTTGCATATGTGATTGTTTTAGTTTTCTCCGCCTATGAATAGGAGAAAATGGATATTGTCGGGGAGATGTTATATCTTTTTTAAAGCAAAGAGATAATATTTAAATCACTTAAACTAAAAATATGTTGAAATTAAAATATTAAAGTGAGAGCATTAATCACAAATGAAGCAAAACAATAGAAAAAGAAGTTATTAGATAAAAAAAAAGTTGGGATAATTAAATATCGACCACCCACAGCATTCATATTTATAAACTAACTATCAATGTGATTTTTCAGACCTACCAAACCATTGTATTTACACGTGTTACATTCAAACTATTGAGAATTTAATAAAAATGTAACATATGGGTTGGGGTTTTATCATGAATTTTAAATTTGAGTGAAAATTCAAAAAAAAAAAAAAAGAAAGGATGAGAGAGGAAGAATAACCTCCAATCAAAATGGCCCTTATAAGATTATCACTTGGATTTGGAACAATAGATAGCTCATAATCTACAAAAGCTAATCTGACTAAGGATCTCCAAATCAAATTGATCATGCTACTTTTTACAACAATCAATTAGAATCCTAAAATAGAAAACTAGCTTAGTGCAAAGAATAAGGCATAAAACACATCACAATTGTAAGAATCCCTAGAGGGATAAGCTTTAATGTCACCATGGAAGATGTATTTATATCATCGATATTGCCATACATGTGATCATTATTATATCCACAATCAAAGTTGGCAATGCCCGAATAATTTTAAAATTGTACAAGTTATAGAAATCTTTTCATGAATCATTATTTGATTACAACCACACTCCCTATCAATCAATTCATTTAGAGAAACTCTAAGTGCATCGAATTCCATCCAAACCCTTACAATGAAAGATCTATAATGAGTAGTAGTAGGTAAAAAATCTTGAATCTTTTTCACAAATAATGAAGCTAACATAAACAAAACAACTTTATCAAAATAAGAGGTTTTAGCCATGGAAATGAAATCCAAGCCGAAGTAATAAGGTATTTAGTCTAAAGTTTAACAAGGGGCAAACATTTATGGACCCTTACGGAGGACTCTTAGTGTTAATGATTTTCAATAAAAAATATTACAAAATAATCCTCCAATCTATCAGCTTTTAATAAGGCATTAATTGTCTCAAGTAAATAGATAAGACCCCACGACAAGTTAAAACAACCACACAAAGACTCGTGATAACACGCATTGATGTGTTTAATCCAACAAATTTTTAATAAGTGAAATGTAAAAAGAGGTTGCCAATTTTTTATGTCATTATTTGACAATGACAAGATGGGTAGACCCTTTTAGGAAGAATGAGTGAAGTGAATGCCTTTATAAACAATAAAATTATGGAGGGCTCAATGCAATAATATTGTTGGCATTACATTTGTTGTCATAGGTGTGGAATATCCATTTGAATGTTATGAGACTGAGTTTTACTCTCTTACAGTCTCCTGTAATCCAAGCAATACGTTCGAACCACGTGATACATGTCTCGAGCATGGAACCGGGATCCATCCCGATCCTGTCCTACTTTGGAGAGTTCACCGTTCGGTGATGATGAATCAGGCACGGGACACATCTAATATCCATTTTAATGTTTAAAGGCTATTATCCCTCCATTCAGAGCCTCTCATGGCTGGGCGAAGTCATAAAACCCTCCCACGCAGATTTTGGGAAATTTGAGGTTTAAACCAACTTAACCGAGCAGGGGTCTGGGACACCCATTGGCATTCAAACCAACATCATGCGGACGCCCAAGATAGCCCGAGATCCAAAACCAAAAAGTTGAAAAGCAGGTCCTAGACCCTAGTGCCCCGGCTCCAGTTTCCAACGCCTAAAAAATTCTAAAATTTCTAAATTAATTTACAAATCAACCATCCTCTTTCATCTTTTTTTTCAAATTCTCACTCAAAGGTTTAAATTCATGTTAAAACCCCAACTCAAATTTTTAATTTTTATCAAATTCTCAATAATTTGATCGTGCTACTTGATCGTGGTAGCACGTGTAAACACATTAATTCGATACTTTAATAAAATCACTCGAATCATTAATTTATAAATATCATAGTAGTCCATATGCAATTACATACAAATCCAAACAGCCACAAATATAAACATTTAAATTTACACAAACATATAAACGCACAAGTCACACAACTATATACATCAACTTACTCCAAGCACACCAACCCTGCGTTGACTATACACAATTGGAACCCATCTGAGCCCTCCATCCCCAATCAGATGGTCTCGGCTCGACCATCACATGATGGAACAGGCGTTGACATCGTCGTCGTTGAAGAGGTTGCTGACCGGATCCTCGCCGCGGCGGTTGACCGGAAGGTTGCCGTGCTTGTCGCTGTTGTTGTAGCCATGGCGCCAGTAGTTGTAGCTGTCGCGGTAAGATTGTTCGTCGTGGAAGTAATTGGTGGCGTTGGTGAAGAAGAGGGGGAGGTCGGGGTTGGGCCAGAACTCCACCTTCTTCCCGCTCCGCCGCACTTGTTTCAGTACCTTGTTGCGGTCTATGTAGCCGGTCACCGTCACCTTCCCTAGTGGTAAGTTCACCTCCACCGAGTCCACGCCTTTGTTTTTCAGTGATAGATGGATGGTCTTAGTTTATGTTCTTGCAATGTAAATAATTTTTAAAATAAATTTTATTAGTATTATTTTTTATGTTTGTATGTATGTATGCATGCATATATGTATTTATGTATGTATATATATATTTATATATATATATAAATTAATTTATTTTATCATCTTCTTAATAATTCTTATTGTCGGAATTCATAAATGTTTTATAATAATTTTTTGAATTTGATTTATATATTTTCATAATGTATTTATATTGATAATTTAATATTATTTACATTTTAGTTAAAAAATATTATATATTATTATTATTATTATTATTATTATTATTATTATTATGTATTTATGTATAATTTAATTTAATTTTCTTGTTATTTATAAATATTTTATAATAAAGTTGTGAATCTCATTTATTTATTTTGATCATTTTAATTTTATAATTGTTAGTCATAGCTATATAATATTCATGTTATTTTTTTGTTATGATTTTCAAAGGGAAATATAGAAATAAGGAATGTATAATGAAAACATAGACAAATGTAATTAATTTAATGTACTAAAACGAAAAATATCTTCTCTAATTATACATGCAAAGGGCTAAAAGAGCTCCTTCCCACACCTCTACTCCTCATCTTGATTTTCCTCATTTGCTTGCAAACTCTTGAAGATATTTTATGAAGGACTAGACTGAAGTTTTAATGAAGATTATAAAATAAATTAATTTTAATAAAAAATATATGTACATAAATACATAAAAATTATATATAAATAAATATTCTCTTATTAATAAATTATTAAAACAAATAAATGATCAAAATAACTAAATGAAATAATTAAAATAATTAAAATGGAAAAAAAAAAACTTTGATCAATTATGGTGATCAGAACTTAATTAAGATAACTATTAAATAAGTTCATTTTATTTTAAAATGAGCAACTCTTAAATAATTAATTAAATGATAAAGTAAATTTAATAATTATTTGTCCGATAAATTTTCCCCAAGTAGAGTACCTCTGAGCTTGTGCAGGGCATGCTTGACAACCCTCTCGCAGCCTTCGCAACACATTCTCACTTTAAGCTCTATAACCTGCCAAATAATAATAATAATAGTACTGAATTAATATAGCACAGATTAATACTGAATTTATATATATATATATGTGTGTGTGTGTGTGTGTGTGTGTGTGTGTGTGTGTG